AAACCATTTCAGGTGACTACCTCTTGAAGCTCATGGAGAGAATGCCAAGAGTGTGCAAAGCAGTAATCAGAGCAAAGGGTGGCTATTTTGAAGAAACTAGAATATAAAACATGTTTTCAGTTATTTCACCTTTTTTTGTTAAGTACATAACTCCACATGTGTTCATTCATAGTTTTGATGACTTCAGTGAGAATCTACAATGTAAATAGTCATGAAAATAAAGAAAACGCATTGAATGAGAAGGTGTGTCCAAACTTTTGGCCTGTACTGTATATATAGTGTATTGCCATCCAACGTGAAAATAGATATAAATCTTTTTCATATTGCCCAGCCCTAGCCCAATGAAGTGGAAGCAGCACTGATCATGCAGGTAATTTCATTCTGCAGAAATACAGCTTTTTTAACTTCATGCACCACTGAGCAGCTATATATATGTATATGTATATATATGTATATATATATGCATATACATATATAGTAAAGAGGCTTTTGAAGCAGTTTTTTTTTTAAAGGTTATGTTAAAGGTTGTGTCATAAATTTCTATGATTGAATTTGTACTCATTCAAAGGAAGTGTAATGGAGGGCTTAATTACTTTGTAACAGCTAAGTTATTTTTGTAGTGTAGATTTCTTTGTTTCCCTGGCACCAAAGGGGGAATAAATAGCAACAAAAACAAAATAAACCACAATATAAAAACATCAGTACCAGCAACCGTCCAAAATGTTATTTTAAACATAGGTATGACTGTCGGTATCACTGTGGGTATCGGTATCGATATCGATATCGGTATCTGTATCGGTATTGGCCCAGAATTTTTAAATTGGTGTATCTCTAGACACATGGTTTGCTTTATTCACCAAAGCGATTTTCCTGGAAAAGGAACACTAATGACTACAGTTCATAAACAGCAGAAGTCCTACTTCTTTTCCCCGTTGATGATGATGATGATGATGATGATGATGATGAAAATGATGATGTTTCTTAAACAGCATGACTATCAAAGAGGAGAAAGAAAGAACATAAAAAGACACAGAAGAGAAATGCAGATAGAGCAGCCAAACCGTGAAGAATCAAATGATATAAGGATTTAAAGGCAGGATGAGTCAAGGGTCAGGATGAGAAGAAAAGGATTGGAGGAGGCTACAGCTGCAGAGCTTCCTGACATCAAGTCGTACTCCAGCCAAGAGGAGCAAATAAACTGTAATCTGATTTAAAATGCAATGAGATAGACACCTCAGTCCAAGCAACACCATTTGACTGTGTGTGTGCATGTGTGTGAACACTTGTGTTTGCTATGTGATGTAATTCACCAATACATAGGGCCGATACTCGTCTTTCATTAGGTTTTGCCCATGGGCTACCTGAAATAACAGATAAGCTACATTTTGATGGATTACCTAATTATAGTAGAATTTATGAAAAATACTCCAGGTGTGTGAGAACCCCTCAACTGATCTGATAGTAGTCAGACCAGATCAGATTTCACTTAAGTATGCATGTGCTTCAGATACAACTGCTGTGTAGGTTCCCCACACTGAATAAGAAGCTCTCCCTCCTGACAAGAATAAAAATCTAGAAGATATTTATCCTATCCTCGATAGCAGAAATAGCGAAACTCACAAATATTGGTCTAAGTTTCAGCTCACAGGTGCTTCAATCAAATCTTCTTGTATCAGGCTGTGAGCAACCATGGCATGTGATGGTATTAATGAGGATACTCAAAGGAGCAGGCAAGGATTCTTATAAGATTCTTCATTCATCCATCCATTTTCATCCACTTATCAGAGGCCAGGTCACGAGGGCAGCAGGCTGAGCAAAGCACCCCAGACGTCCCTCTCCTCAGCAACACTTTCCAGCTTCTCCTGGGGGACCCCAAGTAGAGTTCCCAAGCCAGATGAGATACGTAACTCCTCCAGTGTGTTCTGGGTCTGCCTGGGGGCCTCTGACCAGTTGGCCAGGTCCAAAATAACTCTAACAGGGGGCACCCAGGAGGCATCCTGCTCAGATGCCCGAACCACCTCAACTGACCCCTTTTGACTCAAAGGAACAGGGGCTCTACTCCGAGCTCCCTATGAATGTCTGAGCTTACCCTGTCTCTAAGGCTGAGGCAGAGGAAACTCATTTCGGCCGCTTGTATCCGCAATCTCATTCTTATAAGACAAACAAAACAAAATAAAAAGGCATATGATTTTAAATAATAAAACTCTGGTTTGACCAAAAAAAGTATATCCTAACTTAAGGTCCACCTACTAGCCTATTCAAGAGCTTTCAACCTCATTTCATGGTCTTCATCAGCAGATGGAGTTTGCTTAGTTGTCATAAAGATGGTTCAGTATTTTTCATTCCCAACGGGTCAAATACCGTCTTTTTGCCAGTGATCTTGATATCAGACACCATCACACCGAGGCACCCTTGGCAGCAGGTTTCAAATCAGGGGGCAACAACCCAACTCTTTAAAAACTGCTGCTTTGTGGATGTTGGCATCAGATACAGACACACAGAGGCACCTTTTGCAGCAGTACGGTATACACTGGGCTGCGTCAGTTTGTAATGCCAGCCACAACACAACAGTCAATGGAGTTACATGATGTAATACATGATGTACATCACATGTTGTGACATTGGCCTCTAGTTACGCAGACCTTCCTGGACCTTCAGGTGGGGGGGTTCAGGATGCTGGAGAGGGAGCTGGGCTCTCTAACCTCCAGGGTCCAGGAGTTAGAGGCCCAGCTCCAAGGAGTGGAAGACCGGCTCCAGAGTGAGTGACAGGCTGCTCCCACTGGCCTCAATAGATGGCCACGGTCCCCGCAGCCAGGTGGCCTTTAAGGCCACGCACGTGTGGAGGTGTCGCTAACCAGAGGAGAGGAAGAAGGGGGGGGATCAATAAATAAAATAAATTGAACGTTGAAATAATTTGTTTTGGGTGATTTGTTGTAGCCTATATTTAATGTGATTGAGTAAATTTACACCATAAATGTGTGAATGGATGTACTCCCTTACAGTTCACATAAGTGATGGCTTGGGTATCTGGGGCGCGCAACTGTACATGAAACCTCGTTTCGTTTCCAGCTG